CTTCTCAAAAGATGACATCTGTGCTGATCATGTCGAGAAAGCATTCAACTCTTGTAGACCTGTGTGCTTCTTATGTGTGGATCTTTCAAAAGGCTGTAAGGCATTGTTGGCTACTATCGTCTTATATAATTCCTCAACTTCATTCGGTGAATTTAATGTGATAGATTCATTTGAAGCTACATCCACCGATATACGACATGCTGGGTTTAAACCGGTGTAGAAGTATTGAACTTGCAAATTTTTCTTAATACCGTGATTAGGACACTTCTTGATCAAGTCCTTAAACATTTCCCATGCTTCGTGAAAACTCTCTAATTCATCATGTTGAAAAGTGGATATATTGTGTCTTATTTTAGTTACTTTCGACAGTGGAAAGTATTTTATGACGAATTTTTGTACGAGATCATTCCAGGTCCTAATGCTTTCAGTGGGTAGGGCATCCAACCATTTTCTTGTTCCATCTTTGAGTGTATGTAAGAAGAGTCTCAACTTGATTGTTTCATCAGATTCTCATGGAAATTGTAATTTTGGTAGATGTCAAAAAAGTGCGAGATGTGATTGTGTGGGTTCTCATGAGGCTTCCCATAAAATGATACTCAATTCTGGAATAATAAAATTATGTATGTCCTTAGTTGAAAGTTTGGTTGTCCGAATGGAGGATAAACGATACTTGATTGATTTGGTGCCACAAGTGGTGTGATGAATTGTCCAAGTGGCTAATCATCTTCATTAATCTCGACTAGTTGTCCAACTTGTGCCAGTTGCACTTCTCTGTTCTGTTCTGCCATGATGTTCTCTCATTTGTGCCTAATTCTATGGTTAAAAGTGCATTCGATTTCTGGATCAAAGGGTACTAAATTACCTACTCTCGAATTTTACATGCAAGGACACTTGTAACAAAAATGAAATAAAAAAAACACAATCCTAAACTTAAAAAAAAAAAAACAAACAAAGAAAGGAAAAAATCTAAATCAAAACTAGAATTAGCTAAAAAAATTTAAAGCAAATAAACTAATCCCTGACAACGGCGCCAAAAACTTATTCGTGAAATTTCGCAAGTAAATTTTTAAACTAATATAACTTCAATTTAAATTAAAATAGTAACTAATGATCAAATCAATTTTTGTTTTATAAGCGAAATTCTAATAAATAAAATAACAAAGTATTAAATAAATAACAAACTCAGATTAAAATTGGAGAAAATATTATGTGATGAGGTAGTCGGGATTTTCTATTTCACTTAGGTTATTTATAATACATTTAATTCCAAAATATTCACCCATTTTTCATACGTGTCAACGATTGAATTAACCTGATGTAGTTAGTGATCTCTCTCGAGCAACACTAATCCTATTCATATACTCGAATTTACTATACCTCTATATAAATTCACACACATATGAACACATTTATTGATAGGGGTTCAATAAAGATCGCATAGCTTATAATTATCTCTCGATCTCTTATAATGTCTATGTTAATTATTGTACGAGTTAGAATTATACATCATCTCTTAGTTTCAGTATTATCCCTAAATCAATTAATTATTGCGCAAACAAATAAAAATATTAAATATACAATAATTAATTAACAAGTATTAAAATGGTATGAAAATCTTGAAATTAAACATATAATAAAAACCTTAAGCTACGTAATCAATCATAACAATAAAAGTATTTAGCCACTCATAATATTAAATTTAAACGCGCAAAAGTAAAAAGACATCACCAAAAACTGACGAAACATGAAGCTACACGTGTGTGCCGTCTCTTTTCATCCGTTTCCGTGTATATATATATAATGATTTCAGCTTTCTACCCTGCTGCTACAGTTTCTTTTTGTTTTCTCCACCAACCTACCTCTATTTTCTTCCCAGAAAAGCCGACCACTGCGTATATATGAATGAACTCCATAGTACCTATTTTTGTCCACTTTATGCTTTTTCTTTTCCTCTATGGCTGTGTATGTGTGTGTATATATATATTCCCCAAAAATTGCTTCCTTTTCCTCCCCCAGAAGTAGACCACTATGCGTGAATAAATCAATTACCCAAAATGGCTGCTGGCCCTTTTGCTTTTTCTCCCTGAAGGTATTTATATCTCACATCTATATATTGTAGCCCTGTTTAGTTTAATTTTAAAAGTCCAAGTTGAGGCCCAGTAAATTCCAATGCTGAATTAAATTAATTTTTTTTTCCAAGACCTAAAGTAAATTCCAATACTGAATGAAATTAATTTTTTTTCCAAGACCTCAAATCTTTTATGTAATGCAAGTTGATCGTCAAAAAAATTTTATTTGTGCAACCCATGCCAATTTAGTTCTCGTACTTTGGATTTTGCAATTTTTAAGCTATTTTATATTATTTATTCAATTCTTCATTAAACATAAAATCTTACATACGAAATACA